GGAGGAGGAGGAGGAGGAGGAGGAGGAGGAGGAGGAGGAGGAGGAGGAGGAGGAGGAGGAGGAGGAGGAGGGAGGAGGAGCCGCTGCGCTGCCGCGATGGCACGACGGCGGGATTGGCTGCGGGCGGCGGAGGTGGCTGCCTCTGCTGCACGCGGCAGTAGCCCTGGGGAGGAGGGGCGCGCGGCCTGCCGATGTATCGTTGCGTGCGAGGCGACGGCAGCGGCCTGCGAGCTGTGGTTTGGCCGCCCCCCCGCGCCCTGCGCCCCGCGGCACGTGCAGCCGGCCGCCGCAGCCCGCAGCCCACTCGCACCGCCCGCGGCCCAGGGCAGGAGAGCGCAGAGGCACAGCGCGCGAGGACGGGAGCAGCAGCAGCAGCAGCAGCTCGCCATCGCTCGGACGTCCATTCCTCGTGTATGTTTCGTTTTGGTGCGTGTTTTTTTTCGCTAAGACATCCAGGATGCTCCTCCATGTTCCTCGCCGAGAAAACACGCACACGTCCGAGCGATGCCAAGGCAGGGGGCGGTGGCGAAGAAGACGGACGAGCACGCGAGCTCGCGGCTGTGTTCAGGATCGGTCTCTTCGAAAACCAATGGCGCCGGCGGCGCCCCACGCTGCCTCCAAATGAAGGCCTGCAAGGTCGTGACAGAACCCGCCCGTCCCCACCATCCTCTCCGCAGAACTTTGATCGCCCATGTGCAACTGGTCGGGAGAGGAGAAAGGGGGGGAGAGCGGGAGGGATGGTGGAGGAGGGGGGTCACCCGAGGCTACCTTGGACTGCCGAAGGCACAAACAAAAATAACATAAGAAGGCAACTATGACGCAGCATCCCAATTTATTTGGTACTTGGCTCGTGGCGATCCGCGGCAATCCTTCCACGCCAGATCCCCTTCTCCTCGTGGGGGCACGCAAAACATCAATTTGATACGGCATCCTGGAAACTGGTCTCGGACCACGGTCTGGTCGGAGCCTGGAGGCCAATCCAGCCATGACGACCAGAGCGCTCCACGAGCCCCAGGGCAGAAACTTGGAAGAACGCACTGATGGTCCACAGTCGAGGATTTCCAACTTGATGAATGTACTGACCTTGGTAAACCTGCGGAACCCTCAGCGGACCTATGGATGCGTCCAGAGACATCAGGGAACCTCCTCTGCCGCGCTAATGGGGATCGCACCGCATCGCCGATGCACCAGCGATGCCATTGTAGAGAAGATCGGAGCAACCTAGGCGGAAGATGAGGGAGGAGGCGAAGATGTGCGAGAAGAGGGAGAATCGAGGATCGTAGTTTTCTCATTTCTGTTTAGTGTTTGGGAGCTCCGGATGAGGTTCTTTTCTTCTACAGTTTCGGCGGGCGCGTCGAGCGCCTCTGTCGCGAGCTGAAGCCTGCAGAGGCATCTGGGGACTTCGGAGGCCTCCAGGACCTACAGTCTTCTAGAGACTCCAAGAGACCTCCAAGTCGTCGTCGACGTCGTCGTCAACGTCGTCGTTGTCGTCGATGTCGTCGATGCCGTTGATGGTCGATATCGTCGTCGTCGTCGTCGTCGCCGCCGACGTCGTTCGTCGTCGCAACCGCCGCCGCCGTCCTCGTCGTCGTCGCCGTCGCCGTCGCGGACGCCGTCTCCGACGCGGTCGCCGTCGCCGTCGCCATCGCAGTCGGCGGCGCCGCCGCCGCCGTCGTCGTCGTCGCCGCCTTCGTCGTCGTCGCCGTCGTCGTCGCCGTCGTCGCCGTCGTCGCGGTCGCCGTCATCGCCGTCGTCGTTTTCTTGGTCGTCGTAGTCGTCGTCGCCGTCGTCCTCAGATCCAACGTCACCAAAATTTCGAGACTGTTGTCTGTTGGCGATCTTTCTTCAACTTGGTCTCCATGGGGGGCTGGTTCCCCCGACCGTCAAAAGACGACTCACGAAGAGAAAGCCAACCCCGGAGAAGGCTCGACCGCCCAGGGACCCCGTGCTGCAGAAACGACCACGTCGGGGCTTGAGGTTTGAGGGGGGACGAGGAGGAGTCCAGCCCGATCACACCAGGGTCCGACGAAAATAGGGGAACAAAAAGTGACATAAACATAAAAACTCGGGGGTCCGCGCGGATTTCTCGGATCGGCGCTGGACCCCCCTCCCTGGCGCGCGGAACGCGCCAGGGGTGGCGCAGGAGGCGCCGCCGGGAGGCCCCAGCGCCGATCCGAGAAATCCGCGCGGACCTCCGAGTTTTTCTGTTTATGTTACTTTGTTCCCCTAGAAAAAGGAGGGGGGTATCGAAAGGAAGGGGGGGGTGCGAATCGCCTCACGCACCCGGTCTTCCCGGCACCTCCCAGCGCGTGGCGCCCCATGCCATGCAGGCGTCGAGGGAAGCGCCCGGTGGCGGGGCCGAGGCCAGCTGCACGCAGGAGATGCCGTGCCCCCCTCCCTCTTGCTGCGACGCCCAGCAGTAGTAAAGGGGCCCAAGAACACACAAACGAATACACACGAACCCAAAGATTCCGAAAATTTCCCCATATCTTATGGGTTTTCGTCTTCCACCCAACTTCCCATATTTGTCCACATTTTCCTGGGAATCGACGATCAATTGTGCCTCTGTAGGTTTTTTCCATCTGAATTAATGCGGAAAAGCGGAACGATGTCCAGCAGCAAATGTTGTCCAAGACCGGCAGCGGCTGTTGGACGAGAAGCCTGCTGTCTCAGATGGACAGCGTTTGCGGCGACACCGACGGCGAGTCCTGCTCAACATGAGCAGGAACTGCTGTCGGTTCTCGTATCTTCCCTACTACCACCCCCCCTTCGTCCGACCCACTAGCCCACTGACCCACTGATGGCAGAATTGTTGTTCAGACGAAGCCATCCCCCCACAGGGCCTGCCGGCCCCTGGGGGTGAACAAACCACGAGCCTGGCGACTCCAGGAGCATTCGCGCAAGGAGTCGCCAGGTGGGAGGAAAGATGCAATGTAGAAGGTAGCGGCAGCAGGGAGAGAGGGATGGAGAGAGAAGGAAATCGTCCGACCAGGTCCGCCTCCTCTTCTCACAACTGGGGCCACCCTCTTGCCTGCGCCCTCCATCCCTCCCTCCTACCCCTCCTCCGCCGCGGCTGAGCGGCGCCGCGCGCCGGGCGAACTGCGACATTATTCTCCTCCTCCTCCTCCTCTTCCTCCTCCTCCTCCTCCTCATCATCATCCTCATCATCATCATCCTCATCCTCATCCTCATCCTCATCCTCATCCTCATCCTCATCCTCATCCTCATCCTCATCCTCATCATCATCATCATCATCATCATCATCATCATCATCATCAAAATAATCATCAACAACATCATCATCACCATCATTATCATCATCATCATCATCATCATCAGCATCATCATCGTCATCATCATCATCAGCAGCAGCAGCAGACGCAGCAGCATCACCATCAGTATCATCATCAGCAGCAGCATCATCATCACCATCATCAGCATCATCATCATCATCATCATCATCATCATCATCATCATCATCATCATCATCATCATCATCATCATCATTATCGTCAGCATCGTCATCATCATCGCCATCATCATCGTCATCATTAGCAGCATCATGATCATCATCATCAGCAGCATCATTATCAGCATCATCATCAGCAACATCATCATCATCCGTATCCTCATCCTCACCCTCATCCTCATCATCATCCTCATCATCAGCATTATCATCATCAGCATCACCATCCCCAGCATCATCAGCATCGTCATCATCCTCAGCATCAGCATCTGCATCAGCATCATCAGCATCATCATCATCAGTATCATCATCAGCAACATCATCAGCATCATCATCATCATCATCATCAGCAGCATCATCATCATCATCATCATCATCATCATCATCATCCCTCCTCCTCTTCCTCCTCCTACTCTTTCTCCTCCTCCTCCCCTCCTGCTCGTGCTCCTCCTCCACCTCCTCCCCGCCTCCTCCCCCTCCTCCTCCCACCTCCTCCCCTTCCTCCCTCCCCCTCCTCCTCATCCTCCTCATCCTCCTCCTCGTCCTCCTCCTCCTAGCCGCGCGGCCCAGGTGTCGAAGATGCCGCGACTGCTCGGCAAGCAGGAGCCTGGTAGCAGCTGACCCCTCTCAGCCAGCCTCCTCCCGCCCCACCGGTATCGAACCACTTTATGTCACGTTTCTTCTCTTGATATGAGGGCTGTGTCTTGGAATCCTCTCCCGCTCGCGGACATCGATAGAATGGTGGAAATTCAGTGTACTTTGCATTCTGTCGATATTGTGGTGCTGGTAGGACAGACTCAGACGTGTTTGCGTGATCGGGCTTATCGTGTGAATAATCTACTGTTGTTCGTGCTATACATTGTGGGTGGTCGGGGCGCGGGGCCTACACGAATTGCTCTTGCGGGAGCACCTTCCTAGTGAACAAGCAGACCGTCAAGCCCAAAGACATCGTTCGCATCTGGACCGCGCCTGTCGACATTCGAGGTCGGGTCGCAGGCATTCGTCTTAAGTGCTACTACGTGGACATGATGGTAATAAGTGCCTACTTCCCACCACGCATTCGGGATCCTAGGGAACAACAGCGGCTTTGACAAACCATTCACAGTGTGCGAGACTGTGTTGCTGACATTATTCAGGGTCTTCCGAGGCAGACGCTTCCCGTTCTGGCGGGGAAGTGGAACGACGGCAGTGGCCCCATTCCAGGAAAAATTGGTCGTGCACGTGTCGAATCCTTCAATTGGAGATCACAAGCGCGCACTTGAACACACCACGGACACTGTGGTCCCTCTTACTATGGTGCCCCACGGAAGCGGTCGTGCGAATTCTGACCACAAGCCCGCTGTATCTAACATGCAGGCGGCTCCACCGCCTACTAGATTCTGGTTATGAGGCAGAGTGTGTGCAAGGTGCAGCGGTTTTCACTGATGCATAGGCTGGCACGTCGCTTAATGGCCGTTCCTGACGATAGACCACGAGACCACGTTTTTTTGGGTTTTTACCTCGCGATTGACATGCAGGGTCCCTACACGAAAACCGTGCGCCAACCGCGCTGGGACTTCGCTGGCCTTGGCCAGGCGCTGCGCAGCAAGGTCCACGCTGACGACTTTCGCCGCGCGGTCGAGGAGGCCGCGGCGCAGATGCTGCAGGAGCGTGGCCATGGCGCGGTTGAAGAGATGGCACAAGCTCCACCGCTCGAGGACGCGTGGGCCGCGACAGCCGCCATGCTCCGCACCCCGGGCTTCGCGCACTTCGAGGCCACCCAGCGCGCCGTGCCGACCTCGCACCAGGCGCTCGCGCAGGAACGAAGTGGCTGCCCTTCGAGCCCGCGGTGCTGCACGCGCGGCACTCACCGATGACCTTGAGTCCGTCGCGGTGCTCGCGCGCCCGACGCGGCGCTGCCGGCTACTCCGGCGCCAGCTGCGGGAACGGCGTGAAGCCCAGCTTGCTGGGGAGCTCGCGGAGGCTCAAGCCGCTGGGCCTGCGCCAGAGGAATGGCGCGTCTGCCGACTGGGTCGGCCCGCGCAGACGCATCTTCGGCCACGCTGCGGAGTGCACGCCGAGCATGGAGGAGCGGATCGAGGACCTGGCTCAACCTTCCAGTGCAGGGAGGGACGTCTGCCGTACCCATCGTGGCACACGAGTTCCTGGCGAATGCGTGTGCTGATGATCTGGATCCACTTCCTTCGTGTGATGGTGTTGAGCATGGTCAAGAGGATCCAGAGCGACTCGCTCGCGGCCTCAGGACTGCAGGTCGGAGGCGCGCTGCTGTGCCCTATAGCGTGCCCGACGATATTTAGTCGCTGCTGCTCTCTCTTCGCCCTGATGTGCGGGATCGCGTTGCTGGAGTGGGAGCTGCACCTCCTCAGGGCCGCGGAGTGTTATTTCAATGTGTGATTGCGGGCATCCTCACGAAGGTACGTCAGCACAAGCGATTGGTGGCCCATTGGAACATGTCCTACACATACCAGTTGGCTAAGGACAATGGGAGGCTACGTACCCACGGTGTGCGGCTTCTCCATGGCCTGTGAGCATTCGGCAAAATATGGGTCAAGACTGCAGCTCGCCGAAACCTTCACATCCCTGCACACGGCTAAGGCTACTTGCCGAGAAGGTATCGCACTGGCGCAGTTCGCACTACTGCTGCGCTGACGTGGCGCCTTCAGCGGTCTCGCATCTCACCATCGACACCAAACGCGACATGCGGAATGCCTTGGCATCGGTGCAACACCACACCCTCGACCGGGCCATCGATCGCATCTACGACCCGACGGGCGCGGCCCTCCTAAAGCAACGCCATCGTCGCGCCTGCTTCTGCGTGAACGCTGACGGCATCCAGCAAACCTTCGCGAACAGCGAAGGCAACTACATGGGCGACGCCAACGCGGCCACCGTCTTTCAGGAGGCCTTCGCGCCGCCGATCGGGCTCTGACAGGACCGACATGTACAGCGGTACTCACGGCAATTGGTTGGGAAGAGTCCTGTAGCAGATACACTATGTGTTGTATCCCTTCGTGTGTTTACGGATGACGTGAACAAGACGCATGCGGTAACGGATGTTGATTATTCCCGGGCTGTCATTATGAATTCAGATACAGTGCTCAATGAATGTTTGCGTCCGCATGAGATCTTCCAGAGTGAGGGGAAAACAACAAATTCTGCCACATCATGTTGGTCACGGGGCCTATCGATTTTTCATAACTGTGTTTTCGCACGGTATTGGGTGCCTTCCTGGGATCGTACGCCTGTCATTTCGTTCTTGAGGACTCTGTTCACGCCTTCGGGTTCCTGGGCGTCGGAGATCTCCGAGAGGTGTGCCGCTGCCGCTCGAAGGTGGGCCCATACGGGGCGCTTGTCTGAACCGCAGCTTGCCCGTCTCGACTCCGCGTGCTTGAAGTACCTCAACGTTCGAATGGAAGACGTCGCGGTGAGGTGCGAGGTTGTGAACGAGGCCCGCCTGCTGAGGTGCTTCGGAGGCGCGCTGGGCTCGTCCCGGTGGAAAATGATCTTCGGGATCAGAGGCTCCGTGAGTGGCAGAAGACTGCGAGGTCTCCAGGGTGGCATATCCAGCAGCTTACGGCCGTCCTGGGGAAGCTTGAGATCGAGACCCCCGTTGAGCCCCCCATTTGCGTGGCACCTGTCTGAGGCCACCCCGATGGCTGACACCTCCAAGAACAACCCTTGGGCTAAGCATTTCTTCCAGGACCTCTCGACGATGACGGTGACGGAGGAGGGGGAGAAGGTGGTGGAGTTGATGGGTGACGACTTCAGGAGGTTGTCCAGGAAGGGGGAGGAGGCTTTCGATGCGTTCCAGAAGCTGAATGCCCAGCAATTTAGGACGGAATGGCTTCTGCGAAGGAGCCCCCAATCAGCTCCACCCCCGAACCTGGATAAATCAATGAGGGTGAACCTGGTGAATCCCGAAGTCCGAGCGTGTCCCGAATGTCTGGAGCCATTTCCGTCGCTCGAGCAGCTGACAAGGTGCTTGAAGAGCCACTTACCTTTACCTATATCCAAAGTTGTCTGGCATGTTTCAGGCGCTTCCTGCTCCGAAGTCGACCGACGAGAACGCGGGAGCTTCCCGCCGTCGACGGGCCAAGGCTCCAACCAGCGGCGGCAAGCCCAAGCGCAGAACCCAGCGTTAGGCTTCCAACAGGCAGGTGTCCGCGGAGGAACTGAAGGAGCTCGACAAGATGGAGCTGGACGAGGTGCAGCGGGACATGCCAGTGGTGCTCAAGCTTCTTCTCAACGTGTCCGTGCGGACGCGCCAGACGGAGGCCATCACCATGACGACGCTCATCATGCACGAGAACGCACTCCCCATCGTGAAAGGCCGCGCGAGGGTCCGCGCCTGGGTCGAGAGCGTTCCGGACCTCCGCGCTCGCGGCAAGGACGCAGAGATCGAGGCCACGGGCAGCTTCTCGCTGGCGGCACTGTGCGGGCTCTCCGAAGGATGTCTCAAAGCAGGGGGCTCCCTGGGCCAGGCGAACGCCAAGAAGTTGCAGACGTGGCAGCAGGCGACCACGATGTCGCTGCGCGACGCGATGCAGGCCTACCCTTTCGTGCAGACAACGTCCCCATTCGCGGACAACCAGGCGAAGATCATGATGTCGACGCACGCGTCCTTGAGCGTGCTAGGCGATTGCTTGGAGCAGCCAGGGGCCGAGCGCAAGATCGGAGTCGCTCCCATGAACCATTCAGAGCGTGTTCTTCAGAGCTTCTTGGAGGATGTAGAGCTGTGAGCAACGAGAATGGTGAGACTGATCAGCGTGTTCCTCTTGATTGCCGTGCGAGTTATTTTGAAGATGGGGTACCGACAATTCAAGGTGGTGATGCCAATGTATGTGACTACACAACTCCCCCAAAGTTTTCAGGATACTGGTTGTGCCCCTGGAGCCCCTGTATTTTGTACTGCGACTGCTGCCGATGACATTTAGATGGGGAGATCTGGACTTCGGAGGCGAACCAGTGTTACCGAGATGAGTGGCGGCGTTTGTTCCTCGAGCGAGCGTCGACGTTGAATATGATGCAGCACTGCCCAGCATGTCAGATCCTTCAAATTTCCGTGAGCCTCCTGATGGTCGAGGTGTTCCTCAGGTCAGCCGTGTGTCATCGAGGGCTCCGAGGTTGCACGTCTATGGGACGCACAGAGACATACTGGTAGTATATGTCCTCATTGAAGGTGCGCGTCCGAGCCGAACATCTGGTATATCCATTATGTAGCATATCGTTGCCCGAGCGGTATGGCCAGAAAGCGCCCGCCACGACGCACTTACTAGAAGACTTCTCGGTGCGCGCGTCGCCCCTGGGAGGGCGACACACAGATAAAAACAATACGTTTTGAGCAGGGACCGACCGTCCCGGCATTCCTATAGTCCTACCACGAAATGTCCTGAGAACCCAAAAAAGTTCCAATAGCAAAAACAATGTTCTTAGAACAGAAGCCCGACGTGTTATAACAAGACGGACTCCGCCAGAAATGTTCGAAGAACAGTTCGTGGGAACCACACAAGGTTCTTAGAACATTGTTTGGTAGGGCTATAGGCGAGCCGGGACGCTTCGCCACTGCTCGAGTGTTGGGGTGACCCCGAGTCTTCTCCGAGGGCTGGTCCTGAGAGGACCGTGCCTGCCGCCCGCGGCAGCCCTCCCTCTCCTGGCGCGTAGCCCAGGCGGACCCGAGCTCGGCCCCTGGGGCTCGCCGCTCGCCCTCTCTGGCGCCGCGGGCGCGAGCCTCATGTGGGCGACGGCAGCCTTCCCTCTCCTCCTCCTCCTCCTCCTCCTCCTCCTCCTCCTCCTCCTCCTCCTCCTCCTCCTCCTCCTCCTCCTCCTCCCCCCCCCTCCTCCTCCCCCTCCTCCTCCCGCCTCCTCCTCCTCCGCCTCCCCCTCCTCCTCCCGCCTCCTCCTCCTCCGCTTTCCCGGGGACCTGCCGCCAACCGTGCCCGTGTGTGCTCCGCGCTTTTCGAGCCTCCGGCCTTACCTTGCAGTGAGGGCCCGTCGGGCTCGGCGGGCTGGTCTTATCGGACTATCGGCTCGAGCTCCTCGGTGCAGCTTAGGGTTTTCAAGTCCCGTAAGTCTTGAGGGCGGGCAGGAGGCCCGAAGACGCGGCCGTTAGGTCGGTCCTAGAGCGTTTCGTGGTCCGGCAGGAGACACCCACTGCTCCAAGAGGTGCTCGTCGTCGTCCTCCTCCTCCGCCTCCTCCTCCTTTCCCCTTTCCTCTGGGGAGACCAAAGAGTACCGATACTGCCGATACTGCTACTCCCAGGACCAGTCCCGGGTGCACTCTGACCAGAACTTCGAGGAGAACCCAGCCGTGGCGACGAGGGCTCTCCAGGACGAGCAGCGGCCGGTACCATTCCTCCCCCGACTATCATCCCCCTCCTCCCTGCCCTTGGCCCGATCCTCCTGAGTCCCTCCCCGTGGTCAGAATGGCGGGCGGCTGGGCGCAGACCCGCGCACGGGAGGCCTCCCACATAGGACCCGAGCAGATGTGGTCGGGGGATCGGCGTTGCATCGCCGATGCATCGGCGACGTCGGCGAAGCATCGGCGAGGTCAGCGTGGAGAGAGCCGGGTTCCACATCGAGCAGCATCGCCTATGCTACGCCACGGAAAGATGTACACAGACATCCTCCGACGAACTTTGCATGTGCCTTCAGGGAGGGTGGCGGTGTATTAAAGTCGCTGGCTCTCAGGGGTAATGTGTAAACCGACGCCCTCCCCTGAGGCCAAGGAACAATCCATTCGTGGGTTTCTGTGTACATATTCTGTGGCGGATATGCATCAGCGATGCGGCGCGATCCTCGGACCCCATCTGATCTGAGAGGCAACGATAAAGGGGAGGACTGGCATTCGGGGGGGGGGGACATCGACCTGGAATCGGCGATACATCGACGATAGATCGACGATAGGCACCCGATAGGAAACCCCCACGTTCCTGGACAGGTTGGGGCTCTCGGGCCCCCATCGGCGATCAATGGGTTACTGGGGGTCGGTGCATCCCTCCCCATGCCTATGTCCCCCCCCCTATGCTGCCCCTGATGATCGGACCCCATCTGGGAGGCCCGGACGTACGGCCCCTGCCACCATAGGGCGAATTCCTTCCCGGCCGTCGGGCGCGCGGAGGGCGGTGGCGCGAAGCCACCGGAGAGCCCTGCGCGCCGTCACTCGCGGGGAGATCGCCAAGGAGGCAGGGGCGCCAAGGCGAGCCGGGCGTCCACTGGGGCGGAAACGTGGAGCGGAAGGAGGGAACCAGAAGGGGAGGAGCCACGAGGCCTCCTCCTCCTCCTCCTTATCCTTGTCCTCCAACTCCTCCTCATCATCCTCATCCTCGTCGTGCTAATCCTCTTGCTGCTGCACCTCCTACTTCTCCTCGTCCTCTTCATCCCTCCTCCTCCTCCTCCTGCTCTTCCTCCCCCTCCTCCTTCTCATCCTGCTCCTGCTCCTGCTCCTACTCATGCTCCTGTTCCTGATCCTCCTCCTCCTCTTCCTCCTCCTCCTCCTCCTCACCCTCCTCCGGACCCTCCTCCTCCTCCTCACCCTCCTCCGGACCCTCCTCCTCCTCTTCCTCCTCCTCCTCCTCCTCCTCCGGACCCTCCTCCTCCTCCTCACCCTCCTCCGGACCCTCCTCCTCCTCCTCCTCCTCCTTCTCGCGCATAGCCTCGGTCGTCACCCTCCTCCTCCTCCTGCCCCCCCCTCCCCTGAAGGTCCCTCGAGACATCCGGCAATCTCCCGAAGCCTTCGTGGGGCCCTCTCAAGTCCTCGAGGGGCCTCTGGAGGCACACGGGGAGCCAGGAGGGGGAAGGAGCCAGGAGCAGCGCCTGAGGTGCATGGCCGAGCGGCACATGAGCAGGAGGAGCAGGAGGGGATGGGGGCGAGCTGGGAGGAGGGAGGGGAAGAGGGGAGGAGCAGGAGGAGCAGGAGGCGCAGGAGGAGCAGGAGCAGAAGAGCAGGAGGGTAGAGACCCCGACCCCGACCACCTAGCGTCGCGGAGAAGTCGTCGGCGAACGGTTTTGACAGGAGGAGGAGAAGGATGGGAAGGAAGGGATGGGGCGGGGCGAGGAGGACGGACGAGAAGGAGGAGAAGGCGACAGAAATGCCGAGGAGAAAGGGAGGATGGATGAGGCAGAGATGAATGAGAGAGAAGGGATGAAGGAGGAGGGGGGAGACGGAGGCTAGGAGCGAGGAGGGCATGCGTACGAGGACCAGAAGATGGGGGTCGAGAAGGGGAGGAGCAGCAGGAAGTTGCGAGGGGCGTGAGGGGAGGGAGTGAGGAGGCGGGTGAGGACTTGCTTGGGGGGGGGGGCGGCAGGGGCGCAGGTTCTGCCAAGGCCGAGCAAAAAAAAAGAAAACTGGGGCGCATGCGCTCAACCAGCGCCGCTGGGCGCGGTCCTGCTGCCGCGGCCACTTACAGGTCCTGGCGAGGTCAGCGCGTGGGGAGAGTCGACTAGGAGGAGAGGGAGGAGGAGGAGGAGGAGGAGGAGGAGGAGGAGGAGGAGGAGGGAGCAAGAGGAGAAGGAGGAGCAGGAGCAGGAGGAGAAGGAGGAGGAGGGGGAAGGGGGGGAGTAGGAGGAGGATGCGAATGCAACACTGCCCACATCGTGGGCGACCTGACATTTTTCGGTCCAAACACGTTTCTTCGATTTCGGCCTCTGGGTCTCGCTTTCGGGCCCCTGGACCATTGAACATGGATCCGTAACGAAAAACAACAACCCAGGGAAAGGAGCCTGGAACTCTGGGGCCGCCGATTGAACAAATCGTATCGGCGGGTGTCAGGGTATCGACAGTGCGAGCATGCCACTGCAGAGTTTCCTGGCCACTGGCTTGGCATTTCGTGTCAGAGGGGGGTGGGGTGGGGTGGGGGGGGGGGGGCAAACAAGACCCCCCATTCCCATCTGGGAGCCCCCTGGACACCCACCACGCGCCCAGACATGGGGTTCGGCGAATGGCTGGGGCAAGTCACAGGTCAAGAAGAGTGAACACTCCTCCAGGCGGAAAAGGAGCGATGATTTGCGCTACCATTAAGGAGATGGGATTGTTATCCGTATTCGGGCCCCAGTGGCACTCCACGGAACACAAGACTTTCAGACAACTACTCAGGATGAAGAAGGAGAGCCCTGAAGAAAACCCTGGGGTCAAGGATCCGCTTCCCTCAGGAGGAGGAGGAGGAGGAGGAGGAGGAGGAAGAAAACCGTGGTCTAACGACACATGTCTCCTCCCTTCCGGGGGGGAAAAAACACTCCCTACCCACTCCCTGGACTTCCTGCAGAGGCCCTGCAATACCACTGCACCCCCCCTTGCAGAAACCCTGCAAAAACCGCTGGAATACCCTGCGGCACGATCCTGCAATCCACCCGCAAAACCGACCCTGCATTGACCCTGCAATGCTCCAAGCTTTTGACATGACTCTGCAAAACCCTCTTCCATTTGGTAGGTGTACCTCCCCACTGAGGTTTTCTGGGAAGCTGCGCGATCGGTAGGCGCCCAATATGGCCCAAGATTGCTCAAAGAGGGCCTCCGATGCTCCAAGATGTCCCCCAAAGCGGCTCAAGACAGCCAAAAGTGGCTCAAGATAGCTTGCGACATACCTCCAGGAGGCCCGGCGAGACCCACAAGACGGACGGTTCCAAGTGCTCTCGGAGCCCCCTCGAGACTCCCTGAAGAAGCCACCATCCGTCAAACACCTAAGGGACATCGATGATGAGTGCAGCCTCGTCTTTTCATTTCCGATGCGCTGTGGATGCCTCAAGATTGCCCCAAGATGGCCCACTAGATCCCAAAGAGGAACCCAAGAGGCCCAAGAGACGGCCCCAAGAGCGCCCAAGATCGGCCAACCAGCGCCCCAAGAGGGCCCCCAGAGGCGATTGTGTTCGTCCCAGGAAGAAGCGAATCGGTGCCACCCCCTTTCGATCGATGGCCCCCAAGAAGTCCCCAAGTGGCCCTCCAAGGCTCCCCAGAGGGCCCAAAGAGGGCCTCAAGACGGCCCCAAGGAGGCCCCAAGAGCGCCCAAGAGCGCTCCGAGAGCGTCCCACGAGGGCCCCAAGAGTCTGGTTACCTCCTCCCCCTCCTCCCCCTCCTCCCCCTCCTCCTCCTCCTCCTCCTCCTCCTCCTCCTCCTCCTCCTCCTCCTCCTCCTCCTCCTCCCCCATCTCCTCCTCCTCCTCCTCCTCCTCCTCCTCCTCCTCCTCCCCTCGCACCCCCGCGGGCAACAGGGATGGCCCGACGAGACCCTACAAAGCCACCCCCTTGCCCCCGAAGATCGCTCTACTCAGCCGGGGTGCCCGCTTTGTTTCACTGTGTGTGCCTATGCGTCCCCACTTTTCTGAACGGGCGCTTCGCGTCGACTCCCGTGCGGGCTGACTTTGTGCAACTGTACTCCATGCCATCAATTTGGGGGACGATGTCGTGTCAGTCGCCCCTCTCTCCCGCAAAGCTTCACCGCGGAGAGACCTATCAGACCGCCTCGGGAGTAGAAACAGATCCTCCTCCTCCTCCTCCTCCTCCTCCTCCTCCTCCTCCTCCTCCGCCTCCGCCTCATCCTCATCCTCGTGATGTTCCGCTTCCTCCTCCTCCTCCTCCTCCTGCTCCTCCTCCTCCTGCTCCTCCAACTCCTCCTCCTCCTCCTCGCCCGCGTGCGGCGCCGCTGCGTGCAGAGTAAACACGCCGTTGGCCTAGCTGCCTCCTCAGGATTGCCTCGAGTGCGGGTTCCAACGATACACTCCTGGAAATCGGTTCTTTGGCTGTGAGTCGTTACTGCAGCCAGTGGATGACGTTGAGGTGGCAGAAGGAGCTCTGCCTGAGGGTCTCGAGGATATCAGGAGCTACTTATACGATCAGGGGCGTTTGAACCTTGTGGGGTGCGTGAGCCTTTTTGGGGTGCGTTTGAAATTGGAATGGGGCTTGCGTGTGCTCCTTATGTGGTGGAGTCGGCAAATCTGAACATTCTTACACGTTATGGAGTGACTGGGTTTCGCTTGCCGGCGAGAGGGGGGGAACGATATCTTCTCTGACGGGACAGATTGCTCATCGGCGGTACCTAAGCTAATGCGTTGCGGGTGGGCATTGGTTATGACGAGTCAAGCTGCTCTACCTATACGCGAGGCTGATGGCCCGCTCCCTGGCCCCTTGCAGACTGTCGACAGGGCTGACGGACTCGCAGTGCTCATGGAGTCCAAGCCTGTTGTGAGGTTTGAATTTGCCTCCACGGATCTGCTGGCCTTCACTATTAACGACGACGACGACGACGCGAGCAGCATGCAGGTGGCGGTCTGCCCTACAGCGCCTGTGTACACCACAGTGCTCGCGTGCACCACAGCGATTGTGTATAGCACACCGCCTGCGTACACCGCAACAGCCGTGTGCAACGCAGCGCCTGTGCACACCAGAACCAAAGTGCTTGCGTGCACCACAGCGCCGGTGTACACCACAGCGAATGTGTACACCGCAGCAGCCATGAGCAACACAGCGAGTGTCTACACCACACTGCTTGCGTGCACCGCAGCGCCTGTGAAGACCACAACGCCTGTCTACACCACAGCATCCGCGTGCAACGCAGCGCCGGTGTACACCGCAGCGTCTGCGTGCACAGGACAGGTAGAAGGAGCATGTCGGTCAGGATCTGGTGAGGACATCTAAACGCCACGCAAGGGACATGTTGAGAAAACACCATGCGACGTTTTTCCCTCCTTCCTCCTCCACCACCGCCTTGCACGCAGGCACTATAGTGTACACAGTTGTTGTGGTGCAAATCGCCACCGACATGCTGCTGCTACCTGTCCTCGGTGATTCCTAAACATTCCCAGACGCCGCCGGCGCGAAACGTGACGTCATCGGCCCCCTCCACCCCCCCCAGATAGTTGTCGTCATCGACCTGGAATAAGAAAACATGCTCCAGCTGCGTCCGCGCGCACGACGACAATTAGCGACGAGCGATGAGCGACGAGCGACACCGACAACGACGACGACGACGACGACGACGACTGCGGACCAGACTCCTATGCGGATTCCTATGCGGACACCTATGCGGATCACGATGCGCACGGTGGCAGTGCCCGAATCGCGTTGGGGGGGGGAAAGTTACGTCATAGGGGGGGGAGGGGGGCCGGGGGGCATGACGCCCGTCATGCCCCGAACAATAAAGAAACAGACTGCAGGAAACTCCCAGGCGCCCTACGTCGGGTACCAAAGTTTCCCAGCGGTGAAGGCACAGCTGCTCCGGAATCGTCGAACATACTAGGGCCTCTGCGGCGCGGAGGACCTCTCAGCACCCCTTGAGCAAAGAGCCCCTCTAAAGATCTATCTCTCGGCGGCGAGCGAGGGGGGGAAGTGAGAAGGAGAAGACCTTCTCAGAAGGCGGCGGGACTTCTCAGGAAGCCCTAGCGCCTTCTGAGAGGTGTTCTGCGTCTTCGGGGAAGGCTTAGAGCACTTCTCAAAGGCCGGGGGACTTCTGAGCCTTCTGAGAAGGCATTCTCCTTGTCACTCCCCCCCCCCTGGGCTCCCCGCCGAATCTCCCGGTGCTTGCTCGGGTCCACCTTCGACGGCTGCTTCGATTCTCGGCGGCTTTTGGCCTCTCCGTTGCGCCGCCCTCGGCCGGCTGGTGGGGCTGTGACCCTCGCCGGCCGCCCGCGTACCCAGTGCAGCCAGAATGAATCGTCGATCCCCAGGAAAACATGGGAAAATATGGGAGTTGGGGGGGAGACAAAAAACCAAGAAAAGATTTGGAAATACCAGCAGTCTGGGTTTACCCTCGTCCCCGCACTGGCCACCACCCCTTGGCCCTCCGCCTCGCCTTGCCGCCATTGATGTCTGTTCCGGCGGCATGGCGTGGAGTGCGGTGGCGTGCTGAACTCCAGAGGCCCCCTGTGCTTGTTTGCCGCGCTGGACCGCGGCGGCCTGCTGCGCGTCGGCGTCGGCACCTGCGTTTGCTGGTCTCGGCCGCTGCTGGGCAAGTTGCTGCCAGTGACGGCTGGCAGTAAGGGGCTGGGGAGCTCCCCGCGAGTCCTCCTCTCTTCCATGTCGCGCTCGTGCCCGCCGACGGCTGCCTGCTGTCGTTCGGGCTCGGCATCTTCCTTTGGGGAGCCCAGCCGCTGCTGGGCCCCGCGGCTGCCAATTCAGGCTGCTGTAGTGGGCCAGGGGAGGTCCCCGCGAGTCCACATGTTCCGCGGCTTCATCAGGGCTGGGTGAAGGCCACATCGGCCACCGCACCAGCGGCCCGCTGCCGCTTCCCCCCTTGCCGCGCAGTGTTGCTTCTCGCGACGCTGCTGCCTAGCCTCGAGACCTCGAGCCCTCCTCCTCCTCCTCCTCTCTTCCTCCTCCGCCTCCTCCTTCTCCTCCTCCTCCTCCTCCTCCTCCTCCTCCTCCTCCTCCCCCTTCTCCTCCTCGCCCCTCCTCCTCCTCCATCTCCGCCTCCTCTCTCCGCCTCCTCATCTCCTCCTCCCCTCCTCCTCCTCCTCCTCCTCCTCCGCCGCCTCCGCCTCCGCATCCATCTCTTTCATCTTCTTCTATCTCTTCCTCCCTGTCGGCTCAGCAGGAGGTCGGGATAATCGGGAAAAGGAGGAGACTGAAGCCGAATGAGATCTCGCGCGCGAAGTCCCGATTGTTGAAAATACCTTTTACCCCTGCTGCTATCCATCATGCCTGCAGCTCGGCTTGCGCCGAGGCTCTGAAGTGAGTCACCCCGAAGCCCACGATCGCCCGCCCCGACGTGACCACAGGCTGGAGAGCCCAGAATCGAATCGACAAGTCGGATCGGAAGTCGACATGAGTCGGATCGGCGGAAATCGGCAGCCGAGTCGGGAAAGTCCAATCGGCAGAGATCGGCAGGCTAGCAAGCCTCCAATAAGAGATTGGAACCCAAATCGGAATCCCAAGTCGAATCGAATCGGAATCGGAAGCCGTCGAAATCGAATCGAACCGAATCGGAGGAGTCGAAATGAACCCTGCTGGCGACGAGGGCCTGGATGATTTCCTGCCGCTTCGGAACCCAGGAGGCCCCTGGCCGTCTTCGACTGGCCTCGGCCCGAGGCGCCTGCCCGAGCGCGCTCCGGAGGAGGGCAACCAACGACCCACGGCACGTGGCCCCCAAGGGGCGGTCTGCGGCAGGAGCGTGTCGTGACGACCCTGGCGTTGGTCGTGGGCACCGCGCGGCTCTTCGAGGTTGGCTCCAATGTCGGCCAGCTCGGGACCGCCGGCGGCGCTCGGCCCCGAACACCCGCGCCGGTGGCGCCGCCTCGTCCACACGACGCGGGCCTGCCGTGTCGGGGGCTCGCCGCGAGGTGGCCCACGGCAGCCCCGAGCGCGCGCCCGCAGAGCGGTCCAGGCCAGCCCCCGAAGCGGCCTCTGGCCGGTCTGCGGGGCGCTCGTGGCGCCGCTCCTGGCCGCCGCTCGGCGGGAGGACCTGCGGGCCTCCTGGAGGGGGTTGAGGCTTCTGAGAAGGCCCGCCCCCCTCCCACTTCCCTGAGGTCGAGCATGTCCACCGACGGATTGTGGACGAAGAATTTAAACTGGTCAAACAAAAACCCAACACATGCTCAAACAGAATCGAAACATCGTCCCCAGACTCGAACCCCTCCCCAAAAAACATGTGAAGGATACTCAGCCCTGTGGAGGGACAGGCCCGACCCGACACTCCCCCCCCGGGCGCGCAGCCAGTCGGAGTCCTGCAGCATCTTCTCCACGAGGGACGCCGACGGGTCGTCGTCGCCCGCGGGGTCGCCCTCCGCGGCCGAGACGTTGAGGGTCTTGATGACGCCGTCCTCGATGAGGGCCCTCGGCTCGGATCTCTCGGGGAAGGACTCTCGAATCGGGGATCGCCTGCAACATTGATGCACCCCAAAAACTGATTCTCCGTCGGATCTTTTACAAGATACATAGAATGTTCAGTAGATCTACGGAGCAGTTTACGCATTGTTCGTAGCTTCGGCGGCAAACAAAATTTGGCGTAAATCGATTATGTAGCCGATCCCCCACTCGAGACGTCTGCGATCCTTCGACTCGCGCGGAATCTTCCGCAATGGTACCAATACGCGAACTCCTCCGGACTCGACGGAGAAACACGGCATATATAAGCAAAAACTGTCGGAGTTCCACATGATGGCCTGCGACGGCCCAAAAAGTTCGCAAAGAGGCCCCCCAAGAAGCTTCCAAGACGGCCCAAGAGAGCCTCCAGGAAGGCCCGAAGAAGCCAAGACCAGTGATTTTCCCTAGGTTCTTCGAGGACTTCAGCATTTGTTTTTTTTCGTCCTTCCGACGACCCGGGACGGCCCTCGAGGCTCCAAAGCTCGCCCCAGGAGGCCTCCAAGATGGCCCCAGAACGGCCCAAGAGGCCCCCACGAGGGCCCCAAGAGGGGCCCAAGACGGCGCAAGAGGCCTGCAAGACGCCCAAGATGGCCTCCAAGACGGCCTTGCGAAAGGGCTCCAAATCAGCTCAGAGAGGCCCCTAAGACGGCTTCTGACGGCGTCAGACGGGCCAGGAACGCCCTAAGACTGGCAAAGAAGCCTCCGAGAAGCCCCCAAAGGCCCCCAAGAGGCCAAATGCAAGATGCCTCCAAGAGGCTCCCAGGAAGCTCCCGGGAGGCCCCCCCAAAAGACTCTCAGAGGCTCCCAAGATGCCCCCTCCTCCTCATCCTCCTTCTCCTCCTCCTCCTCCTCCTCATCATCATCCTCCTCCTGATCTTCCCCGTCATTCTCCCCCAAGAGTTCCCTGAAGGGTTTCCACAACGGCTGGGGGAGCACATGTTCCGATAGCTTGACAGAACTCTTGCCACAACGCTCGGCCACATGGGCGATTCCAAAAGGCGGGGGGCGGCGGTGCTTCGCCGTAGGCGTCTTCCATAAACTGTTGAAGGTCCGCGCGGATTTCTTGGGTCGGCGCTATACCTTCCCCCCCTGGCGCGCCGACAGGAGGGAACGCCCATCCCAAAAATCCGCGCAGACCTTCAGGAGTGTATGTTTATGCAGCTCGTTCTTCTGCGAGCCCTCGCCATCGTGCCAGCTGCTTCATCAATCCTCGCTGGCCGACTGGGCTCGGAGTTCCGAAGCGAGAGACGCCCACGCACAGTCTCCACCAGTTACCCCCTGCCCTTGCGCACGGAGCGGGCCGGGAGCGGAGCCGGGGGCGCCGCCTGGGGACCCCAGCGCTGGTCCCAGAGATCCGCGCGGAGCTCTGACAGTCTGCGGTTATGCGGTTGTTGTGCTTCGAAGCCCTCTGGAATCGGGGGCGCGCAGACATGGATCATGCATCCTCGGATGCGGCGCGCGGTCGCAAAATGCATGGATCGGGGGAGGCGCCCTCCCCAAAGTGCGGCCGGTGCCGCCTCGGTCGGCGGCGGAAATCCGCGATTCCCCACGGAAGCGGGACCCGTCGCTAATCCACGCCCGTTTGGTCCATGTTTGCGATCGCCGAGTATCAGCCCCGATGCTCGCAACTGTGCAGGGCGCCCCGTGCGGGTGGCGAACCGAGGCGCGCCTGCGCGGGCAACGCAGCCGTGATGTTACCCTCTGGCGGTGCACCGTCCCGACGTCGCCGGCGCCATCGCCGATGCAA